AACAAACGAAGACGTAACAATATAAATTCATCGTGGAGAGATCAGGGTGTGTGGCTGGTAAAAAGGAAGGACAAAGCTAGCTAGCTTCCTGTTAAGCAAATCGTACCTACATTAACTCGCTCATCGTGAACCCTCGGTGAGATATCGAAGAAGTTCCAGACTAAAAGGAAGACTTCATACTGCCAGTAAGTTTGTGAAACTTTTGTTTATAAATCATTGTTTGTAATAACTGTTATTGTAAATTGTATTGTTGTGTGTATATTAAAACGTATTTATGTTAAAAAAGATAACTGTGTGTATCAATCTTCTTGGCAAATATCATAATATAAATATCATATATCGGCTTTTACTTAACTACTAAATCCAAAGTACAATTTAACTACTAAATTTAAATTTGTCAGTTAACTCGGTTTCAGACCATTTGAAATTCTAATACGTAACAGTGGACATGGAGAAACGATACCTAGCAGCCTCCCCAGATGCCATTGTAGGGTTTGATGGTATTACTGAAGTCAAGTGCCCGCTAAAAGCTAAGGGAATGTAAAGTAAACTTTTTGTTGTACTTTACTTGATAATACTTTGAAACTGAAAGATACACATACATATTATTACCAAGTACAGGGTCAACTTCATATAACTGGTAAAAAATATTTGATTTCATTATTTGGACACCTCTCGAACCAATCACTCCATGTGACAATTGTTGGATTGAAAAAATGCTCCCTTCACTAGATCGGTTTTATTTTCAAGCACTATTGCTAGAAATAATAGATTCAAGAATGACAAGAACCAAACTATGTTCTTGAGGCCAAAAGGGAGTGAAGAAAAAAATGAAATATAAACAACCTTCTGGAACCTACATTTTGATATTTGCCATGTTTTGTTTGAGATATAAAGGCATCATATGCATTGTTGTTGTTTTTTTAAATGCAAGTATTTTTTAGTGTAAATAAAAGTTTAAAAATATTTGCCTTTTTACTTTATCGGAGTTCACAATATTACATCTACATTACAATACACATGGCTGTGCTGTTTATTCTGATATTTTTTACAAAGTTACATAGTTCAACCTCACAAACAATTTGAATTTATGTTAGTTCTCATTACGTAATATAAAGAATATAAAAAATAAATTACGAAAATAGTTTATAAATACTTTCAATATTTATTTCGTTATATTATTACAAATAATATTTTTATTTAAAAATAATCAAATAAAATTGCAACTTTTCTGATTTTATATCGGTTTCGAACTTGACTGGATTTTGTGAGGTCAGCTGGGCTTTTCCTAGAAACTTACTGTATTTACCACATGGAACTTCTAAATAAGACGTAATTGTAAATGTTTCTTCCAACATCGTGCTCACTGTGTCCTGGAGCGTTCCTTTGGCGGTTAGGGTAGAGACACGTGACCCCTGTTGTTATGGCAGTCACGTGTCAAGTTTTACACATCAAATTGAAATCAGGCGGAAATGCTTTTGCTATAGCACCACTTATTTTTAAGTTCATGGTCAAGAATGCAAAAAAATCTCGTAAATTGCTACGTATAATAAACTATAAATGTATTTTTTTTTTATTTTACACATTTATACAAACTATTTATATGTAAATATTTTACACGTGTTTATAGTTTTATATTATTTATCTTCAGTTCACAAATATCTT